AAAATAACTTTGCGGAACGTGGACACATAAGATAGAAGCACATTTAAATACTAATTGCAAAGAAATCGAAACAGAAATAAATGATTTACAAGCAGAATTTAAATTTGGATTTTCGTAACTTTTTAAAATAACAACAAAATGCGGGTAGATTTTTAAGTTTTTTTTTAGAATAGCATTCGCATTTCTTTTTGGATTTTAATAAGACATACATAAAACTTTAGAGGGTGTTCAAGGACACATTTTAAGACAAATTTTGTGTCAATCCAATCACAAATAATAAAATTACAGGCAAATAACTTTAAAGGTACAGTAGGGAATGGCTCTCACCAATGACGGGGAAAATAAATGGGCAACCTAAGTTGCTGAAAAATTAAAAAAAAAAATTACCTTCTCCTGTGTACAGAATGGAGGAATGATAGTGAACAAGTGTACACAGTTTCAAATCCAGATGTCAATGGAATTTGAAAATATTCGAGGTGGTACATTAACTTTTATGTACATTTAAAGTTGAAAAAAGGACATAATTTTGTCAAAATGCTTGATAGAGTTACCACCAACAGTGTTCAGGTTGCGGCATGATTATGGTGGCTGATTTGTGCCATTCGTGTTTTCGCCCCGCGACCCCGCCAAGCGAAAAGTCGAAAATTGACAAGTTTAAATGGCAAAGCTCGCTAATTAACGATGGCGCGGGTTGAAGTTTAAGAAATAAAACTTCGTCCCGCGGGGGCGCGGAGCGAGATTTAAGAAATAAAACGGGCGCTTGACGAAAATCCGCTTATTAGCGGGGTCACAGGGCGAAGTTTAATAAACTTCAGCGGTAACAAAAGTTATCATAAGACTTTTAGGATATCTTCAAAAGTTAACTCAAGAACTATGTGACATTGGAAAACTCCAATAGGAAATAAATTTGTTATTAGAGGCTTTATGTTTGCAACTTTCCATTAGAAAAGCATTAATGCAAAGCATCAAAGGGCGTCCAAGCAAGAAATGCAGCAAGTGAAGATAAACTAGTAGACATATGATGACAAGATATTCTTATAAACTTTCCAATGGTTAATTGGTTTTTACCAGAATTTTATATCACTTATGAATGAGCGGACGAAAGACATTGTTCATTATGAACTTTGGTAGACATGCTAGAGATTAGAATATTATTTGTTTTTTTCCACAGGAACTTGAAATTTTATCAATATTAACAATAATATCCAAAATATACAGGTCAATGATATTCAAAATTTACTCCCCATATGGTATAAGTTTATTTATACTATATAGGGGGTATTTTTTGGATATTATCATTAATATTGGTGATTTGATAGAATTTCAAGTTCTTGTGGTATTTTCTTTGGAACATACCAAAGAGTAGTCAAAATCAGTAGTTCTTTTACATTTTTGAAATAATAAAATACATATATAATATTATATTATAATTGTTATTTTTTATCGTCATAAATGTAATATCGTGATTATTAATAGCAACGGATATATACAATCATTTATAATCCATTTGTGTAAGGCATGATCAACACCACACTTGTGTATTGTCCCTTATTATGTTATCGCTATTAGCGAAGACCCCTCTTAAGGTATCAGTTCACACTTAGTAACAATATGACACTGGTTTTATTACCATGATGATCATGTTGATCATAATAGTTTTATTATACAATAATTGTAATATCTATTTTAATAATTTTTTTTATGAGTATCGTTTTCTTTTTTGTGTTTTATACGCTATTTTAATACTGAGTTTTTACATTTACTACTTTTTTATTGAAATTATGCAGATGATTCTGCTATTCTTGTTGCAGGTAAAAATAGGTCATGTATTGAAAAAGAACTGACAGATGAACTACATTCTGTCAGTCAATGGTTGATTGACAATAAACTTCCCCTTCACGTAAGCAAAACAGAGACAATATTATTTGGTTCTAAACATAGGTTCATGTCAGTTGTAAAGGGACTGATATACAGTCAACTTCTAATGTCAAATATCTAGGTGCAACACTTGATCAGACCCTCTCCGGTGAAGCAATGGCAAGTTCTATTATTAAAAAGGCCAATGCAAGGTTAAAGTTTCTGTATAGAAAGCGTGATTATCTCACATTTCACCCTAAAAAACTTCTGGTTATGGCCCTCATCCAATGTCATTTTGATTATGCATGTTGCAAGGATAAACTCCAAGTGACACAAAATAAATTAATAAGATTTATTCTTAATCTTGGTTATAGGTCACATATTGATAATGAACACTTAAAAATTTTAAATTTCCTACCTGTCCAGAAAAGTGTTGATCAAATTATCCTCAGTTATGTTTTTAAAATAAAACATGGACTTGCCCCTGAATATATGGGAGAAAACTTTATTCCAATAGATTCTGTTCATACTTACAGGACCAGGTCAAGTGAAAGTGGGTGTTATATGCTAACTAAGGTCAAAGGTTTCGGATCAAAGTCTTTTGCTTACAATGGATGTGTATTGTGGAATAAACTACCCTCTTCTGTTAGGATGGAATCAAAATTGTACAATTTTAAATTATCTGTTAAAAAACATTTACTTAATGGGTTATATCTTTTAAGGGTGTCTATCCTCTAGTTTTAATATTTATTATTTATCATTTTTATTTACTTATTTTAATTTGATCATTTTATGTATACTATTGTCTTTCTTCAATTTAAAACTGTGATAAGTCATTTTCATGCCTCTGTCAAAACCATCAGTATCTAAGGACCACAATGGAAATAAGAGATTAAGTTCTCTTTCTTGTGTTATCCTTGGTATGGTGTTTTTGATATGGTGCATTTCTTGTACATTGATATTTGTTTTTATTGTTTTATCATGTATGTTTTTACCATGTTATTACTGAATACTGAAATAAATCTATCTATCTTTCTAATTGTAAAATAAATTTTAAGAATTCAATTGTCATATTAACCGACGATTATAAGTCAAAAATGAACTGAAAAAAGTCAGTAAATTATGGTTAATCTTTCAATATATTATATTGTTTATTCTTAAACCATGTACATGTACATTTTTTTTTATCATTTTTTTTTAAAATTATCAATCAATTGAATAATTCATATAAAATTTAATTTGTAACTTAGAATAATTCCTCAGCATCTTTACTAAACACGAATAACAAATTAAATAAAATGTTTCAAAGTTGATGGTGTCATATTAATGCCATAAAAATGTACCTTTTTACTCAATTATTGTACATATTTATTGTTTTTATCTCATATAAATAAAATGAAACATGCTATTGTTGTTGGTGTTGTTTTTTTTCGAATTGTATGTTTATGTATATTAATAATAATAATAATAATAATAATAATAATCAATTTTATGAGTTGATCTGTGTTTATTCATTATTGTAACCAAACTAAATGACAAACATTCATTTTGGAAAAAAAACTTATTTATCTGTAACGATATCAAACATCTACTCCAAATTTAAAATCGTAAGAGACTGGACAATAAACGTGTGATACTATGGTGTCGGCCTGGTGAATTTTCGTATTCTTTGTTCTATAGTGAATCAGTCACATTTGAGGCTTAATTCTGGATTCCACTGTTCTTGGTGAATTATATACTGTCTTCAACTTTAAACATCAACACTATCTGAGTCAAATAAGGCCCAAAATATAATAGGTTAGCCATCTCCTTTTTTCAGAAATCTTCATTTTGTTGCAACACAGTTTAAATTCACCACTTTAAAAACTCCTGACTGCTGGTGGGTGGTACATCCTTAATCCTTCCGCCAACAAATGAGTTCCTGGAGAATACACAAAAAAACAACTTTTAAACTCATCATATAGCACACAAAAACTACACACATGCAATAAATACACTTTAATTATGACCAATCTAACTAGAGATGACTTAAATTGGGCCACTTCCAAATTTTAAAGAACTACTTTCTAGACTACAATGGGCTGGGTCTAATTCCGTACCGGGTTGAGACCCTATATGTCGGTCTCTAGTAATTCCCGGTCAAAATAGACGGGAGAGACCGGGAATTACCGATAGGAGACCGGCGAATAGTACATACCTCTATAAATAGATTTTCGGACTTTTACAATGTTAAGGTCATCATTTTATTTACAGCTTTCGGATACATGTACAACAATAACAAACCATAATAACTCACTGTGTACTACAAAATGATTAATAAAAAAAACCGAAGAGCGCGATTAATTGACGGAAAAGATTATTTCATTTGAATATGTTTGTACTGCGAAATTCTCCACTTGCTATTCATTGTTCATAATCTAACACTCTCATACCAATCGGAATGATCGGCTATTATGTCCGACGAAAAGGCCCGAGAAGTTGCTGTCGCCTTTTCACAAAATCTGATTTCATTCCATAAGGGGCGTCGCGCTTCGGCGCGGACGCCAATTAAGTACGACAACGAAGAAGATCACAAATGAAAAGGTCAATGTGTACATAATTAAGAAAGTAATTTGGATTTTTTACTAAAAAGAGGCGATGGAAAATAAATGTAAGAGTTTTTTTCTAACATATAATACAATATGTAAGGCAAGATTAAACATTAATTTTAATAGTTTAAATAGCTTTTATATTATCAATATGGTTGTCTAAGAAAAATAAACTAAATTCATTCAATACTGCTTCTTTAAGAATATATTAAATATATTGAAAAAAAAACAACAACAAAAAAAAAAAAAACATTCGAATAAGCTTCTTTTTTAATCTTAAGTGGAATAACAATGCGATTACCAGATACCGGATCTAAAGTTTCCCCGAAATATTGCGTTAATATTCTAGCGCATTATGATATATCGATTTAAGGCAAAAATATTAAAAGACATACATTATGGACAGAACATTGTCTTAGGAGGCCTGTAAGGAAAGTGCAAGTTACTGTCCACGCCCCTAAGCACCGACTTATGCATAATTCAACATTCAATCATGTTTATAGTGAAATTTTGAATTAAAATAAATCCGCAGATGTCCATCAGTTTAGAGCACCAAGATTTATATATAACTAGTACCAATGTTAATGAAAGTAGTAGAATCTATAATACTATTCACAGAGTAATACTATGGAAATACGATGGTGGCTGATTTGGTACACTGCGCGTTGCGTTGTCGATACCGACAACACACCTATATCGTTATCGCCTTTTCTTCTTGTTGCTACTGAAATGCGCCAAACGGCACTTTGTCGTGCGGCACGTTGTGTGGCGATGTCGCCCTGTCGTTTGGCTTTTATATATACAAATAGCAAATCCTTCGATTTGAGCCAAGCAACAATGTGACATCGCGACAACGCTCCGTATGACAACGCGCCGTTTGGCGTGCATCGTTAACGGACGACAAGATGAATGTCTGACAATGTGCCGTTGGGCGCTTTGTCGTGCTGTCGCTAGCGACAATACGACGCACAAGTGTACCAAATCAGCCACCATAAAATACCCAAATATGAGTAAACGTGCTGCATTTAATGCTTAACTCTTCATTCTATATCTTCTTTGATGTCTTAAAACATTAGAAAGTAATATTGAATATAGCTAGTACAAGCATTTATTCAGTTTTATGCCATTTTACCTTTCATGTACTATTTTATTCAAAGGAGTAATTTAAAACACATTTATTTTCATTTAAATCGTTTATTAAAACTTACAAAATGTCTTGTCCGTCGAGATAAATTTGAATAATATCATGTTGTGTGCTGTATGCAATTTCATGTAATAACAATTATCTAGATTGCTGAAAGGTAATATGTCACTGCCTATCATTCAAACATTTTCTTCTATAATTTGGTATTTATAAATTTGTCATTGTTTTAAATATTATCAAAATTTTGGTATTATTAAATACAATCATACTTAAAATGTTATAAATAAATGTTTTGTTATGTTTAAATTAGTTTACTTACAGTCACGACACACTTCTTTGCAAACTTTCCACTGAATTATATGTAAAATGAAGTTGTTTACCTTTTCAACAAAGTTATGACGAAAAGTTTTGTTTTTAAGGAATCTATTATAAAATTAATAGCAAATTAATTATCAAATGCTTGTTTCACGGATGAATAGCTTGATTTATTTCCCAATGAGTGCCTGCGTATTGTCTGGCTGACATGACTGAGAACATCCAGGAGAAAAATCTTTACTTTCACAAAATGTAGCGTTACAGTTGATATTTAGACCCTCTCTATCGGTGGAGTACTCAAAATCTTGAAACACAAATCTTGTCTCATGTGTTGACTGCGATATGATATGAGTATTACTATCTACTTCACAACTGAAATGAAATATAAAATTAGCCCTTTATTGGAAAAAAATGCATATGTATTTAAAATACAAGCTTCATTATCCCCATGTAAATACTTTATCAAACCGAGTCTGCAATTTTCATGTAATTTTGCTGTTTTTAATGCTTCCGAGGGATCACTTTTTTCAGATATTTTTTCTAAAGCAAACATATATAGTAGGGAAGCAGAAATTTAAAACAGTGCTAATTGAATGCGATAATAGATCTATATTTTGGTTCCACTTCATTTAGAACAAAACACGTGAAAAGAATTATACACGAAATCAAACATTTTGTTGCTAAATAAAGCCCATCATATTTTCATTTTAGCACATAAGATAACAAGTATGCATCCGTAACATTTAGCTGTTGGTTACTGTTGTGCCAGGCACTAGACTACTTGTAAGCTTCCCAACGGTGCCTGTAAAAAAGGTAACAATACCTGCTAAATGTACTACTTAAGACGTGAATTTCATTGTTGTTTTTGTCCGTTAAGCTTGTCATGGTTTCATATTGAATAAATTCCATGTTCAAATGAAAATATTTATTGAAACTGATAAAAATGTTTACCCATCCTTGATAATGTAGTAAATTAATTTCTTCGTCGGTTGATTGGGGCTCGTATAACATGTATGTAACCTCATTTTTATATTCCAGTCAGTAGCCGTAGTAAACACTTTGACATATATATCATCCCCAACATTCGTTTGTATTGGATTTCCTGGCAGTTTATCTATATAACCTTGGTCTTTATAAAATGCCATGTTTATACTATAATGCTGAAGAACAGCCGAATGGTGCATTTCAACATTATGATGTACGTGTGATGACGTCGCTTCATTACGACTGACGTCACATTCAACTCCAAATGTGAATTTGTGTTGTCTAATAATAAATGGACGAATAGGATCGTAGATTGCATAAAACAACTCATTTTCATATATTATCGTATCGCCTGATATCTGAAAGTTGTATAAAACAAATAAAGATCATTTTATACGTTTAAGAAATAATGCTATTTTGAAGTTAGTTTGGCACATTGATCATGTGACATTTTAAGGTTTAAAGCAAATGTATGTTTCTATTTCATTAGCCTCATGCTCTTCTTGCATAAATTTGAAAACTGGTGTCATTTGATATTCAATATATTGTAAGATGTTAGAAAAGAAGGCCGAAGATGTATGGATTGTAAAATAACAGTTAGATGCTAGAAATAAAAAAGGGAAATATTAAAAGACTTTACTTTCTTTATATTATTGCATAGGAGACATTTTTTATCGAAAACAACAAACAGTACGTTTACTGGAATGCAAGTATTGGTTACAAATAGAATACTTTTATGGGGAAATTAACTTTCTGATATTTTACTGTTACTTACGTGAACTAAATATTACAAAAAAGTACTAAACAGTATTTTTTTGTTTAGTTTGAACACTGTCATTTCTTTATTTATATCCGGCATTGTGACAAGCTGATCTATTTTAATATTTTTTATTATTTACAGAGAAATTCGAGATATATGCTTCTTAAGACTAAATATGAATTATATACCATAACTGTTTTCACATGAAAGTTGTTAGCATTTTGTTCTTTCTAAGGTCTAAACATTTATTTATCAAACTGTTATTCTACAATGAAACACATAGTTTGTGGTCCTATATTACTGAAGATCCTCATAAAGGTAAAAGTCAATTATTAAATAACGTCGATATATGCTAATGAAATAACAACAGCAAAATGCAAACTTTCATTACGCTATCATTGTATAATCATCTTTCACAATTGATAATAGATCTAATTTTCTTCCGCCGTAAAAACAATTATTTTACGACATGCAATAAACTTCTTTTAAATTATAACAATCAGTTTGCAGGAGCTTTAACTAGTATTTTATAATTCTTATATATCTTGTTACAAATGATAGATAACGTCCGAGTTCTTCATATAATGCTGCAATTAATTTCTTCAATTTTGTTTGTAAATTACTAAAAGATACTTTGAATACAATAAAATGTTATCTTTATGTAAATATACGCCCACCTCGTACAAATCATATAACATCGTGTTTTGATGTTCTTTCTATTGCATAGGTCTGTAACAGAATGGATTTATCCCCAGGTAAATATTGATACTACAGGTGCCAGCGAAGGGTTACACTATTTTAACAAGGGATGATATTTAGAAATCAAAGCGCAAACCCCTGATACTGGGAATGAGCTGACTTTAAATAATGTTATCTTATCAAAAGATCAGAATATTACAGCATACGGTTTTGCCATACATATTTTATAGCGTGCACACATCCTGCTTCTTAACATTTTTTTAAATTTGACTACAGCACGTCTGGTGTTAAAATTCTTCTTAGTTTCGCTCATTTGTGTAATAAATGACTTACCTGAGACAAAGATTTGCCATTTTGTATCCGAATGTTTCACCGGTATGTTTAAATTCACTATTTGAAGTTATTCCACCGATGTCCAATAGCGTAATACAGTAGACTAAATTTGAAATTCTTTTATAAATCAACTAGTGCACTTTAGATTGAAAACTATGCAATAGATAATTTTAATAAATGTACTCGGTATTCATTTGATAACAGATTTTTATGCGATTTTTGGGCTGATATAAGTGAAAAGCGTTGCAATTTGCACAACAAATTGGTAATCCCTGAAAATCGGAGTGACCAAATGATCTGAAATTTGGTGCCCGAGTAACTGTTGATGTTCCATTAACTGTAACAAAACTGGAAAATGTTAAAACTTAAAATTCATAAATCAAAGCAAAATATTTGCTGAATATGAGCTTGTGTAATCTTATGCTATCGCTAGATCAGAATATTCCTTCAAAGGGTTATAATATTGCTTCTTAACAGTGTTTGGAAATATCTAGTATTATCTACATAAAGTTTGGTGCTTTTGTTAAAATTCTTGAATAATTTCCCTTAAAACGTTTATTTGTGTTATAAATGAAATGCCTGAGATAGTTATTTGCAGTTTTTTAACCGGATGTTTTAACGGTACTGTGTGTTAATGATTCTGCCATATATTTATTTATAATAAAATCTTGAAGGAAAAAGTATTTTCGGTTTGTTCTAGTTGAAAGTCCTCTTTGGAGTCTCTTTAATTAAAGTAGGCAAAAAACGCTTACAGAAACTTGTTACAAATAATTATGCTTCTCAGAGTAAGTTTGAGTTTGATACTACGTAATGAACATCAGGTAATATTGTTACTAACAAAGCTAGCATATGCTTTTTTTCTGATATATAAAAGATATACCAACCCTTTCCGCTGTTAGACAGTCCTGAAATCCTTGCGAAAATAACACAATACTCTCTACCAATTTCCCCTTACAGGAGTTGTCACCGAAGAAAATATTGTTGATCGTGATACCAGGATATAATTGTTTTAGTTCTGACATATCAACAGAAATATTCCATCCAAAATCCGTGCATTCTGGCTTTATCGCATCCTCTAGTTTAACTGTAAAATTTAGATATAATGTTCTAAACTTGTAAGTTTGAAGATATAAGTTAATTAAATCGTGTATAACAAGCTGAACCACAAAATGTGTTTAACTGATATTTGTATCGTAAATGAATAAACACATCAATTTAAGAATAAATCATAAATAATAATATAAATACAACTTCCAAACATAAACATCGATAACGTAATATACTGAAGACTGTGTATAATATTATTAACAACCATGGCTATCAGAGTCAAATGGATATGAATGATCACTTTCACTTTAATTTTCCATATATTTATAGCAGTCTATTTCATATGAATATATATAATAACTTACAATTTGATGATAAGCCAGATTCGCAATTTCTGCCGGTCCAGCCTTTGGAACACTTACATGTGTATCCGTCATTTGTGTATGAACAGCTTCCATTGTTCTGACATGGTAGATTATTGCAATCTATTATGCTAATCTCACAATTATCTCCTTTCCAGCTAAATGGACATGTACATGAGTAACCCCCATTTGTATTTTTACATGTCCCATTATTTTGACATGGTACAGTTACTTCACATTCATTGATATCCAGAGAACTACCATTGTGTTTACAGGGATTATACTTTCTGCATTCATTAACATCTGCTGTACAGTTTTGGCCCGTCCACCCGGCTCCACATACACACATATACCCGCCATTAATATTAGTGCATCGACCATTGTTCTTGCAAGGATTACTAGTATTACACTCATCTATATCAACAGAGCAATTGTCCCCCGTCCAACCATTAGCACATTTGCACAAGTTATTAACAGGTTCATTGGAACATGTTCCATTGTTTAAGCATGGATTTTCTTTACATCTGTCAAAGACATCACACTTCCTACCAGTCCATCCAGTTTTACAGGTACAAAGGTAGTTTCCATTTTTATTTGTACAATTTCCATGAATACAGGGGTTTGGTTTACATTCATCTAAATGATGATGACAACGGCTTTTAGGATCCCATCCTGGCGCACAATCACATCTATACCTCTGTGGGTAAGGTAAGTTGACACACGTACCATTGTTAGCACACCTCACCGATAAACATTCGTCCAAATCATTTTCACAGTGTCTGCCCGTGTACCCTGAATAACAACTGCAGCTGTAAGTACCGGGGTTATTATTGCATGTCCCATTATGACAAGACTTGGTATGACATTCATCTATATCGTTTTGACAAGTTTTACCATTCCAACCTTCTTTGCACTTACAAGTTAAATTACCGTTCTTATTTGTGCAATTTACACTGTGAGGACCACATGACTGAAAAGTATTGAAAACAGGTCATAAAAATAACTAACCAATTAAAGTAGAATCGATTGGCTTTTTTCAGAAACGTAAAATTGGCTCGTTTATAAAATATACCTACGAATGAAATGATAAATTCCCCCATTGGAATTTGGTATGTTTCGAAATACATAAATTTCTGATTATTTTATATTTTTAGATGAAAAGGATGAACAAGCGCTTTTATGACGTTGTTGAAATCACTTCTATACTCTTAAAAGTTACTAACTCTCGTAGCCTAATTTAATACCTAAAAAGGTGATCTGGCTATTGTATATAGAGGATATTAAATGAGTGTAGGTTAAATACTGTTGATTTAATACCAAAAAGTATTTTATCAATAATTACTATAACTGGACGATTTTTTTTCTTATCAAACTTCATGTAATTCAATGTACGAAACAACAACCTCTTTGGGACACGTTTGTGGTTAAACAAAAACATTTTAGTGAATTTATTTTCATACTTGACATTGTTCACATCTGTTTCCAAAATAATCTACAGAGCATATGCATGAATAGGAACCATATGTGTTCAAACATGTGCCGTTGTGTTGACAAAGCTTTATTGGGAGTTTACATTCGTCAGTATCTGTGCAATAACGTCCACGAAATCCATTTTCACATTGGCAGTGAAATGACCCAGGGGAATTTGTACAAGTTGTTGCATTTGTACAAAGTTGTAAAGAACATTCATCAACATCAACGTCACATAAACGTCCAGTCCAGCTTTTGAGACATTGACAAGTGAATGATCCTGGGGTATTATGACATGTCCCGCCATTCGTGCAAGGATTTGAACCCTGACATTCATTTATGTCTATGCAGTTATTTCCATGGTACCCTGTGAAAATTAGATCTATTATAAATAGTGTGAACATGAGATAAATCAACACATGTAAAATGAGATTCTATCATGCTAAAAGTGATACAGTTTCAAAATATTATTAGTTATAAAGATTGTTGACAGGTTATATGGCCCTATATAAACGGTTGTTTGTAAATATAACCCGAGCCGTGTGTGTGTGTGTGTGTGTGTGTGTATGTGTGTGTGTGTGTAAATAATGTAAGCATTAAGAATGCATGTGCCTTAAATAATTATAACAATAAGCAATAATCGAAAATTGAATTTCAAAGGGGAAGTTACGGTTGCATATATACACTTTTTGCATTTCTTTTATGACTAATGCGTTAAGTAACTAAAACAACATTTGAGTATCATGTTGTGTTAAAAAATGTGTTAAGTAACTTTTCATTAGATAAAACTCTAATCTGGACAAATAATAGTGTTCTTAACTGCCACAATTTATTCAATTTCAATAGGTCAATGTTATGCAATCAGTTCCTTACGTAACGTGTTATCACTTACCATTTATTTAGTTTTTGACAGTTTGTTAATGGGCTAACATTTTACTTATCTTTTATCTACAATATATGTTTTATAGTATTGTGTAACCACATAACATAAGAGAGAAGTAACTGGTCAACTATATACTTTACGCGTTAATTACATAATGGTCAAGTTATTAGTTGATCGGTGTGTGTGTTTTCGTACATGCGTGCGTGAGTGTGTGTGCGTGCGTGTGTTATACAGTCAGTGTGTCAGAGAGAGCTTAAAAACAAATTTATGAAATGATCGAAATTATACACCAAATTCTACTTAAAGATGAGTGTGTCCTTTTGACTGAAAAAAGTATTAACATCCAAAAATATTCTTAATTCCGGAGTTAGTCAATTATAGCTCATTGTTTTTTCATCTAACATGAATGATGCAAAAAAATATCCTTAAAAGTTACTCGGACGAAGAACCTATGTTTTTACATGCGTAGGTTATTTTGATGTTTTGAAACACTATTTTAGCTCATATAGCTTGTTTAATAATGGAATTTTTCACTTGCTGAAAATACTTTAATCACAATTGATGTAGCATTCATTGGTTTGATCTAGGAACAAAGTAAGATATGTTTCTAATTGGAACTGTCTTATTTCGTTAATTGTACACTGACGAATTCATGTACATTAAATATGTGCTTCTTTTATTTGCAAATAAACGTATAAGAAATATATCTATCCGTAAAAATGGTATTGCACGGCCGTGCATATACTTTGACGTGACGTCATTTGCGTCATATAAGCATAGCGTTATGACACGCTAAAATTAATGTAAGCGTTATACTATACAGTAGGTGAGTCAATGGAAAACGTTTCTTTTTCACTTCAAACGGCCTTTATTTTTGGTATGTGATAAATAGAATATTAAATTCGCCAGAGGCTCGCATAATTCAATTTTATTCAACATGTTCAATAAATACAGTATTAAACTTGCACTCATTCAATATCCTGCATGTATTAGAATCATGAAATTCAAATCAGTTGTAGCCTACATATATCAATTATCATATAACACCATGAACAATGAACATAATCTACTGATAGTACCAGAAACGTTATATGTGGTGTATTTTCATGCGCTTGAGTTTCCGGGATCGAAAGCGAAATTGGTGTTCCCATTATTTTAGAAAAAAACTTATACACTACAAATTTAAAGCAATTTAAGAAGCATTGTGAACTATTGTAAAATGTTGAATGGGAGGAAGCACAAATATCCGAAAAAATCAAACAAGATAAATTGTTTTCGAAACTTCTTTAGGTTATTTAGGAATTTATATATCCTTTTAATTATGTTTTCACAAATATTCGAAAAATCAAACTGGATAAATTGTTTTCGAAACTCCTTTAGGTTATTTAGGAATTTATATATCCTTTACATTATTTTTCAATGTTTTAAATGGCAAGTTAAATTTCAATTTGTAATTTTTTTAATGACCAATGGACATCCTACATATATTCAGGTTCCCCCTGTATATTTTACAATAAGTCTCAGACGGACGGGGGAAAAAGCAGCGTCAGAGCAACTTAATCTTCATCACTGCTTAAACAATCATCGCAATCATTAAAGGCACATTATGCGTCAGAAATGAATATTTTTTAACTTATTTAGAAAGGGCAAACATGAATATTATACCATTAAAATAATGGTTTTAAAGCATGTTATATGCTTATAACATGAAAAAGTAGCGATGAATGTGAAATATGTCATAAAAGTATAAAATTATAACAGTACTTATTGCCAAACAGCAACAGAAGCAAAAGATTGTTCAGGTTATTGGTCTATGGGTAAAACTTTGGATACTATAAAAGTACACTGAAAAAAAAAAACCTTTTGAAAAATAAAAATTAAAGCATTACGGAGGCATAATGGGCCTTTAATACTAACAATATCTAAACTTTACCTGTCTTGCAAACCAAGTGTCCATTCTCGTCACATATTTTATTTCCTCTTGCGCTACATGTATGTTGACAATAATTGCCAGAATGATGAGTGTCGCACCAAATTATTGCTTCTAGAACTAAACTTTAAATAAAACACTTCAAGTAATAGAAAGAATACAGATTGACAAAGAAATTTCTGTGTAATTACTAGAACTTAATTTTATTCTAACGTTTGTGTTCGTTTTATTTTACAAAAGTATGTTGTCACAACGTATGTAGACACAACGAAGGTTTTTTACAAATGCATGTAGACACAACGAAGGTTTTTTTTACAAATGTATGTAGACACAACGAAGGTTTTATTTTACAAATGCATTTAGACACAACGAAGGTTTTTACAAATGTATGTAGACACAACGAAGGTTTTTACAAATGCATGTAGACACAACGAAAGTTTTTTTTACAAATGTATGTTGTCACAATGAAGGTTTTTACAAATGTATGTAGACATAACGAACTGGTTTTTTTTACGAATGCATGAAGACACAACGAAGGATTTTACAAATGTATGTAGACACAACGAACTGTTCTTTTTTTACGAATGCATGTAGACACAACGAACTGTTTTTTTTTTTCACAAATGCATGTAGACACAACGAAAGTTTTTTTTACAAATGTATGTAGACACAACGAAGGTTTTTTTATAAATGTATGTAGACACAACGAAGGTTTTTTTTATAAATGTATATAGACACAACGAAGGTTTTTTTATAAATGTATGTAGACACAACGAAGGTTTTTTTTACAAATGTGTGTAGACGCAGTAAAGGTTTTTTACAAATGTAATAATGTAAAAACAACGAAGGTTTTTGACTAATAAATGTTGGCACAAGGAAGGTTTTGTAATATGCATGTAGACACAAAAAAGTTTATTGACAAATGTATGTAGACACAACGAAGGTTTTTTACAAATGCATGTTTACACAACGAAGGTTTTTTACAAATGCATGTAGACACAATGAAGTTTTTTTTTACAAATGCATGTAGAGACAATGAAGGTTTTGTTTAACAAATGTATGTATACACAACGAAGGTTTTTTTTTACAAATGCATGTAGAGACAATGAAGGTTTTGTTTAACAAATGTATGTATACACAACGAAGGTTTTTTTTTACAAATGTATGTATACACAACGAAGGTTTTGTTTAACAAATGCATGTAGAGACAATGAAGTTTTTTTTTACAAATGCATGTAGAGACAATGAAGGTTTTGTTTAACAAATGTATGTATACACAACGAAGGTTTTTTTTTACAAATGCATGTAGACACAACGAAGGTTTTGTTTAACAAATGTATGTATACACAACGAAGGTTTTGTTTAACAAATGTATGTATACACAACGAAGGTTTTTTTTTACAAATGTATGTAGATACAACCAAGGAGGATTACTTTATTATTAGTTGACAAGATACAGAATTCATAAAAAGATCATTGCCCTATAATGTACAAATAGCCATGTTATTGAAGATTAAAATCATCACTTAGGTGTCACATCAAATAACTAGAAATTATACTTATAATATATTTGTATAGAAAATCTTATTGTCTTGTACAATAAATAAAATGTAAAAATGTAGGTATCATTACGTTTTGTCACCAAACGTGAACGTCATTTGAAGTGGTTTTGCTTTGTTATAGGGGACGCCTGCTCTATATGATGCCGGCGGGTATTGTTGATTTTCAAATGTAATGTTGTGTTCATTGTACTGTACTGTTACTTGGAAAACCTGTAATTTAAAAGAGCACGAGGAAAGACTCATTTTAGCATCGAGAAACAGAACAATAAAAATCATATCAACTTAAGTAGTTATTTAATAACAATGATAAATTTTATCACATAAGCTATGTTTATACCTTATAAAAACATTCAGATTATTCTTTTGCGCATTTGTTGACGCAGTAGACTAATACATATTTATACATAATGCAGCAAGACCATACTGCTGCGTTGCTGTGTTTATGCACAAACAGCAAATCTTATTGTGATAATATAGCATTTAGAAAAGTAATAAAAATGATTTACATGGATATTAAATATTTAAAAAAGAAAGTAAAATAGCCTTATTACTAAACTTTCTATTAATAGGAATATTTTCATGAATTGTATTGATTATATCAACATACAAGTGATTATGAAATAAAATAATCTTAAACTAATATTAGGATTATTTGCCTCTTTCGATCGGTCAGTAGAGCAGTTTATTTCCAATCAATAACTAACAAGAAGTATTTTTAAAAATAAAATACTCGGTCGAATTAAAGCTTTATTTGCATATTGTACATTAGAAAAAATTGGAATTAGAATCATAAGGATTATGACATTGAGTCTATTATCGAATTTTATGTTTAAATTTTTTAAATATTGAAATCATATGCATATGTTGGCAGTTCAAGTGAAAGAATCATGTACGAAGTATTTTAAATAGAAACAAAATGGAAAGTCTGAAGTATTTTTTTTTTTAAAATAAAGAAGAAGTATATAAGAAATACAAACAAAACAGTTGATTTCGTACTCACTTGTTTTTCTTATCAGTTCATTTTTACTGTCATGTGTTCTCTAATTATGATGTCGTTTAATCTCAAAGAAACACATTTAAGTAATTGAAGTTTAATCAAATAGAAATTTTAATAGAAAGTTTAGAAATGACAACGTTTTGTCGATACAAAATATCCGAATTAACGGATATGCAACACCTATTGAAATAACGAAAGAAACCTAAAATCAGAAAAAGGAACAGAAAATAAGCTTTCTAATACTAAAATAATAAAAAATACTTAGTCAAACATTTATAATAAACAAACCATTCCTAAATATAGTGCAAGAAATGCTTTCCTGCAATGCTCAGCTGGCAGAACAATCTATTAAAACAGTAAACAGTAAAACTAGTGTAAAATACTCAGCTGGGAATCTTAGCTGGCAGAACAATCTAGCAGAGCATTCTTATATATAAAGTAAAAATGCTCTGCCCATCTCCCTCATCGGGCGGGTTTTCGGGAACCTTTTGATTCCAAATTGGGATTAACTTTTTTGTTTTCTTAGACCCCCGGGAGCCCGTTCGTCCCGATTTGATTGTTTTTGGTGTCCCAGACTTTGGGAATTTTGATCCCATTTAAAAAATTTGACTTTTTTGACTCTGTTTTCTTGATAAATGCAAAAAAAATTGTCTTTGGGGGTTTTTCTAGAAGTGAAAAATCTGAATCGCAGATCAAAAAAAAGACTTTCGAGGGACTCTAGAAGAAAAAAATGTCATTATCTCGATTGGCACTAACATTCACGAAAGTCTGTGGGTGTCCGAGAATCACTCGCAAACCAGAGAAATGAACTCTGCAAAGTCCCCGGAAATCAAAAATGTCCTTCACTGGCACCAATACTTCCTTTAGGTCTGCGAGTGCCCCACAATCAGTCGCAGACTAAAGAAATATACTCCCTGAAGACGAAAATGTCATTGTCTCCATTGGCAAAAAAACAAATTTGAAAGTCTGCGAGTGCCCCAGAAGCAGACCAAAGAATTGTACTCCTGATGGTTACGAGAACCTAAAAGAGGTTATAAATACATTTGGCACCAAAGTCCAGGGCGTCTGCAAGGATTTTAGAAACAGTCGCACACAAATGAAATGGATCTATCCAACTTCAAAAAACAACAAACATTTTCAGAGCGAAAGAGGATGCATAAGGAGTAAAAGAGAAGGCATATTTACTCAGAATGCCCTACTAGATTGCCTTGCCTGCTTAGCATTTTAGCAGAGCCTACGGCCTTCGTGGTCAATTCATACACATCAAAACTCCAAACCGGTATTAAATAGTCGATAAATACCGATTAGACCGATATTATTTCTTAAATATATTTTCACTTTCCACTCCAAAGCATGTAATAAAAACAAAACTACATATAGACGCTGTTTTATCGGGGGAAAAGAAAGAATGAGACTCGCAAATAAAAGTCAAACTAGACGTCTTTACATTTGTAAGAACATTTCGAATTTAGGTCAATGCGCTCATTAAAATACAATGGCAAATTATGAAAAAAGTAGACGAGCTGAAGAGAAAAATGTTGATTTCCGTCGTATTCAATGGCAGTTTAGATACCACATATAAAAGCGATTTATAAATTAAATAATAAAAAGATATGAACTATTTAGCAGGTGAATATGATGTGATATTTACTGAAAATTATTATTAAAATGGCTATCGCCTCAGTCAATGTTCGGTACATATCATATCATATTCACCAGCAGCTAAAGAGTCCATATTCGTATAATATTACATATATTAGCCAAACATACTCGTATATTCTTTACGAAAAGATACATTTAATCATCTCTTCTTAAATTTTAAGAAAAATATATGCATGTACATTTGCGATTAAATAAAGCTGTTATTGTGAAATAAAAGATAAATAAAAAATATATACCGGCCATGATGTAACACCTAGCAAATTGTATCCTTGGTTTGTCGGCTGCGAATTCACTAGAACTCCATCACATATTGTTAGACTCGTTGTTATTAACTTCGATTGCATCGAAACTGTCTCTTGGCAATTGCTTTAACACAATTTGAGAAACAAGAACGTCGCATTAGCGAGACAATATACGCCGAATACAAATTAGTTTTTAAGTAATCAAAATAATCTTTAAATAAAAAAGCAGCACATTATTTACACTTGGAACATGTTTTGTTGGATTATAAGTTTGATACTGTGTGTCCCCAGTGACATTTATAAACATAAGTGCATGGTTATTTCATTTTACTTTAAATCTATATTGATGCATACTAAGTAACTAAAATCTTGCTATGACACCTAAATAGGAGTTACTTATATATGCTTATGGACAAGATAGTAATTCTGATTTCTGAAGTTTAACTTCCGAATCACGGCAGAAAAATAGAGAAAATATGAATCCCTAAAGAAAGTCCAAAACGGCAAAATTGAAAATGTTGCAGGCTCAGTTTGATTGAGCCTTTCTAGTGCAACTACCATGAACGCCCCCTAGCACCGGCTGAAGCAGAATTCAATATTTAACATAAAATGGGTAATTTTTTAATTTAGAAACATCCGCAGATGTGTTCGTAATGCGGTAATGATGCAATCTTCAATGTGACACTTTCGTGCCATTCCATGAAAAGTGGCGTATGGTCCTCAAGTAATAGAAAGCGTGTGCCCGAAACGAGGAAACAATGGGCGGAACTAAACAAAAATGGAATTTTGAAAGTGGGTCACAGGTTATGAAGCCTGTATATCACAGATTAAACGTCAAGAGACAAAGTTGAAAAGCAGGCAACATATCCTAAGGGTGATTCAACATTATTCAAGTAGGAATATTGGGAACCACCCAACTAGAAAATGACAAATGTTAAAAACTTAAAATACTGCAAACAACAATAATGTTGTGCTGAACGATCTTTTAGGATCAGAAATATAACATATCTAATTGAATGTACGGGGCAACTTTTTACAGCCTCCACATGGCACAAAGCCACTTTCAATTTACCAGAGCACAATTCTGCCATCGCACAACTCCTGGAAAGGCTGTTAAGCAGTTAACCAGTACTAGTTAACCAGTACTAGATGTTTTTACTTTTTGCATTAAACAGTTATTACTTTTGTGCATCCCAGAGTACAGGTCAGGTCAAGTGTCAAAGGCCATAGAAAGTAACCTGCAGAGTCCGGGAATCGAACCCGAATTGCCCGATTTACAATTCAACGTTCGTTCCACCAAGTGAGTTTACCGTAAGGTAAGTTTGTACATTTATATATAGTAACTTTAAACAGCCATAATGTTTGTTTTTGAATGATCATGATCAAAGAAACATACACATAATATAATACTAGTACTACAAATAGTTTATCAAGAATAAAAATTATATCCAAATAAGTAATTTTCATTTCTTTATAACCTCCCTTTAAATAAATAACACCAATACCAAAACAGACATACACCTCATGTTCATCATTTGTACAAAAGTGATATAAAGCCCAATGGAGTTATGCAGTGAGCCAAATATATATGCTCTGCACGTTGTGCGTTTACAGGAAAACTTTCAAGACATGTTTATGTACATGTGATTAAAGAGCCTCCCCCACGCTCATGGGTAGAGCCATTTTTTACACCAGGGTAATGCTCTACATACGCCCAAAAGATTTCGGCGCATATTGTACTGCATCTGGGCGTCCTCCCATCCGTCTTTTAGCAGATTTCGTGTCCGGTCTGTATTTTTCTGAACCAGTGGTAGGACATTTAAATTGTTTGGCAGAAATTTTAACAATATTAATGAAATGTGCAGACCGCAGATTTGGGTTTCCTCGGGACAAGATCAAGGTCATACTGACTCATTCAAAATCCTTATAATTATACGTGATTTTGCTACTATACACAAAGAAGAAAAAATCGGCGATAAACTGCAAATAACCACTGGTTAGGGACTACATGTATATGTGGCTGTATATTTTCTCCCTCGTAAATAATTATTTTTAAGTCAACAATAATAACGCATTTTACTGATATTTTCCGTTTTAACAAAGTTTTCTTTTCACATAATGCTAAAATAATATCATAACATACACTACAATCTAATTAAATAAAAATCGTGACCAAATACGAAATCGTTGACCTTTTCCACAGCCAATCATCTGCGAGCTTTCATGATTTTGAAATCGGTGTGGTTTTACCAATACTGAGTAGGTAATTTTCGCGTTTTCGAGAACAAACATGTAATGGCGTTGTCCATATACATGTAGCCGACAGGGAAACTGGCAAAACAATCTTGCACATTAAAAATTGACTCTATTTTTTAAAGTTATTTTGTTAAAAATTACTTCAAACATTTTTTTCCGAACAAAATCAACAATTTGTTATTATTTCTTTTGTTCAATATTATTTTATCTTAGCAACAGTAGGGTGCGAAATCGAACAGCGTTATACGAAAACCGGCACCGGAAGTAATCTCCGCTTGAAAAAATAGCATTATTGATCTTCCTTATTTTGTCTTGATAGAATCTAAATGATGTCGTTTTTGATGCAAAAACATTAACAACTCAGACCTACGACCTTTGTGGTCTACGCATCAAAACTCGGTGTTAAATAGCCAATAACCACTGCTCAGACCGAGTAAATCAATGTTATTGACTCATAGTCAACATCTAAAGGAGTATGCTAACAAATATCTGACACTGTGCTAGCTTTACTTTACGTGAATTTTGATTGAAAATAACCACACTTTACGATGAGAAGCGGCATTTTTTAATGTAAAAAAAACTTACATTTTCTCATGTTAATAAATCATTTTAAGATATGATTCTTAATCGACAACATTTCGTCATTTGATATATTCCAAACCATACCTTCAAAAATGATTTTCTTTTAAAGACATAGGGCATTTAAGTTTGAATGTCTTCAAAATTTGAGTAACGTCATCAACCGCGCGTTCGCCTCTTTTTAATGATAACATCGACATCCACTCATCAGCAAGAAGGAATAACGCTGAAAACCGTTTAACGAGTCAATTTTTTCAGGACTTTTGTGCTATAGTAACTAGGAAAGAGTAAAGCCTTTTTTGTTCATTTAAAATATTTATTTATTCATGGTACTTTCTAATGAACTTCATTCTTACGAAATCCATCTAATGTTCAATGATTTTTAAATTAATCCGCCATATAATATGATTTATTTTACAGCATATAAATTAATTTAAAGTATAATTATTAGTTAGTAAGTAAGTAAGTAAGTTAGTTAGTATTTAGTTAGTTAGTTAGTTAGTTAGTTAGTTAGTTAGTTAGTTAGTTAGTTAGATAGTTAGTTAGTTAGTTAGTTAGTTAGTTAGTTAGGACTTTGTCCCGAGAAAGCCAAAACCTGCGTTCTGTATATCGTCTCATAGTGGTTCATATTTTGCTAATTAGTTTGAACTTCTAACATTGAAAGATATAGGGAAATGTTTCTACTTCCAGACGGACGGGCGGACTGCCAAGTGCATAACACTATACACCACAATTTTTCGAACCTGTAAAAATAAATCAGCTGATATTCAATATCAAACTTTGTCAGAACATCCATATAAACTCTGCATGTTATGGTAAGGCAGAACTATCGTCAGTGATCCTGCTGAGGTGAAGGTTATTTTTGTTTCAAATCCAGTTATAAATAAAATATCCAGTATATATACCGTTTGGCCAGTTAAGTACGACATAAAAGAAGGAGTTTTATCATTATAAATCAATATCTTTTACAGAACTGGAAATTCTAAACAATTCATTTCTTAAAG